TATTAACCGATGATCACCAACACCACTACCACCACCAACACCACCACCATTACCATCTCGTTGGATGCGCTCGTTGCCCCAAATTCCGATCGTTGGTGTACCCTAACGAGATACATTGTTTATATGCGAGTTCCCGAGTTTTACTAACACGCAGGAAGAAGAAAAAAAAAAGAGAAAATTAATTCGAGAATGACATTAAAAGAATGAATAACAAAAAAGAGAAGAAAAAACTTGGTAATTCTACGAAAGACAGTAGGAGTATTAGGCTTACGGCCAAAGCACCTTAATTCAACGGCCAAATTGTTAGCGAATGCTACCTAATTCTTATTTCTAGTACCCGAGAGACCCAAAACTATATTTGTATTGCTCTTAAAAAAAAAAAGATCAAAACAAAAGGAACAAATTAAAGAAAACTTGATGAATAATTAATTATGATAAAAATTTGGATTCCACCTTTATCTTTTCTTTTTTTCTGCATAGAGACGATCTTGTACGAACATAATTTTATAATGATCGATGTTATTCGTTACATAAGTCATAAGTCAATTGAATATTTTTTAACTTTATTATGTTTATATAGTTTGTAGAATTAATTATATAGCAGACTAACTCTATGATTAATCATTTCATAGAAAGGTTAGATAAAATGACAAAAAAAAATATGTAAATACGATAAAAAGATTAGAATGATTAGGAGATGATTCATAAGATGATTAAAAAAAAATCGATCGAATTATTTCGAATGATTCGTTGAATTTTGTTACAGGAATATAAAAAAAAAAAAAATAAAATTAATGGGAAGTATATGATTTTATAATTTATAATAGTCACGTTGTATCATAAGATTAGTCCAAATGAGTGTTGTTACATGGATCAATTAGCTTACATTCGTAATGGTTTTAAAACAATTAATTGTTAACGCAGTCTGAGTATTGTGGTTGACAATTAAGTGTTGTGAGAGTACGCGTACCAAAAGTAAATATAGCGATGACAATTCCTCACCGATCTCCATCTATCTTTGACCAGTGTGTGCATACACGTAAGTAACTACAAGAGAAAGAAAGAAAGAGAAAGAGAGAGAGAGAGAGAAAGTACTTATCTTTTTTACTTCTCAACATTTTTTTGTATCACGGATCGTATGATGACCCTTTCTATCATTTCTCAATTTTTATTTTTATTTCTATTTTTGATTACTTGTTTTTTCTCTTAATGATAGATAGAAAGTTCGCAAAAATATGTAAAATAAAGAAAGAAAGATAAAATTAAATATACTACACACGTGGATTATATTTAGTCTTATGAAATCCCTCGAGATCTACTAATTGCTTGTTAAACTGATTAACCGTGACCTTTGAACAAAAATTATAGTACCATTATTTTTATCAACTCATTTCTCGAAATAAAAATTAACATACTATGGGAATGTGTATTTGCTTGCGTGCGTACGTACGATGTATTTGATGTATACGTATTTAGGCATTAGAGTTGTCTCTTCTTAGTTATATAAAATTGTACGAAAAAATATTTATCGTTTTTTTTTTTTTATCAATCTCATCATTTTTTTTATTTATTTCATTGGTTTGTTATTTTTTTTTTTTAATTTTATTTTAAAGAATTACTCAATGATGTCAACGGTTACGACGTCTATTTAAAGTTTTTAAACGTTACGCGGATAAATAAACGTGCATGGATATATGCACATAAATTCTATACGATAATTACTATTTTGTCATGACAAACAAGAGAACCTTTATTACACGGTACTATTAGAGTAATAGACGATGACGTCTTATACAACGCTTACTTTTAATTACTCCCACATTTGAGGAAGGGTAATGCTAAACTGTTTGAATTTCTTATCATGGCAGAACGATCTTTGTCTGGCATAGATTAATTTTATCGAAGTGCAATGTCTTTCTAAACGCACCAACGTTACTCACGAGTGGCCCACTTTCGTTATTCGGTTTATCTGACGATCAAATTCTAAGTACTAATCCGTATGGTTGCGTTTTAATGCGTTTATCTTTTAAATACGATAGAAAATTTCATCATATTACATTTAAAATAGAAACAAAAAGATTATAAACTTTTAATCCTGTGTAATTGTAATGTCTTTTTTTTTCTAATTCGTTCTTTGTCAACTTTGATTTAATTTTTTTATTAATTTTAATATCTCGTTTTAATATTTTTTATTTTTTTTAAATATGATACTTTTTAATTATATACAACGATGCTGAGAAATAAAGCTCGTATGCATGTTTTCAATCAAACTGGTACTAATTTGTTTTGTTTTAGAAACTCTAAGAAAAAAAATGTTGTCACCTTTAAAGATCATAGTGTATAATGAATTAAACTATATTGTTCAATACCTTTTTCTTATCATTTACCAGGAAAAACCCAAAACGTTGTAATTTTTTCTTATAAAATCGATACTTCTAATTAAGTTAATGGATTAAAAAGTTTTTATCAACTAACTAATATTTAAAAAAAAAAAAAAATAACGGAATTTAATAACTTCTTGTTTAGGTTAAAAATTTGTCAACTCACTCTCTTATTATTAGATAATTCTTATTGTTGATTTAAATAATTATCTTACTTATCTTTTATGCATATATTAACATAAAATAAATATTAACAATTTGGAAATATGAATGAAATAATGTAAAAGATTATGTATAAAAAAGAAATATAAAAGATTAATAGACAAAATTGTTAAAAATTGATGTCAAAGATGGACGACGAGTGGAATCGTATCGAGGCACGTTTAACGTTAATCGATTTTCCGTGACGAGAACGATCATGGAGATAACACGCTATACCGTTAAGTATTGCTAACATTTTCGCTCTTTCTCTTTCTCTCTCTCACTCTCAGACTATGTTTTAACATTCTTCTCTCGTAGTACGCTATGGAAGCAACGTCGACGTCGATTTATTTTCCACGAAGGTGGAATTCGATTTACCTTCGATGGATCTCACGTGGCCTTCCTATCTTTCTCTCTCTCCCTCTCTCTCTCTCTCTTTTTCTGTTTTTTTTTCTTTTTTTTTATATCGATGTTAATCATTAAACATTTATTATTCACCTTAAGCTTGATTATTCACTTAATTAATTTTTTTTCCCTTTCTTACTTTTTTTTTCTAATTGAAATCAACGTGGGGGCGAACAAATTACGTTTTCGCGTGACACAAACAATTAATCTAACAAATAAAAAAATCCTTAATTATTAATAATCATCCTGTCCATTAAATTGTTTTCCTTTTCATTTTTTTTTTTTTTTTCTAATTAAAACCAACGTGGGTGAACATTATTTCGTTTCCGTGCGACACAAATAATGGATTTTACAAATAACAAAATAGAAAAATGATTAAACATTGACCGTGACTTTATAAATAACTAAATGAATGTAAATGACATTGTCAATCGTATTATTAATGATCGGAAGAATATTAATTACGATTTTCAATCTGTTATGTTTTATCTTTTTTTTTTTTTACCTTACTCCTCGGTCGATATATGTTTTCAAGTTATGTAAATACATGTGCTGTGTATTTCTTTTGCAAAAAAAAAGCACTCTCTTATCGTTCTTAGCATAAAATTACAAAACAGTCGAGACATGAAAAGAAGGTACATACTCGTATTAGTTTGGCGCCAATACGAATTGTAATCTCTGACTGATATTATTCGTATCTTGTGGCTTCATGGTAATGCAATTTTTTAACGTACTTTTCAGTTTTCTTCTTATTTCAGAAACAAATCAGGTATGAGATGGTTCACAATATTTTCTTAATTCTTACAAGTTTCTAATGTTATACATAAAAATATAAAATTTATCTATATATTCTTTATTATTATTATTATTATTATTATTATTATTATTATTATTATTTTGTCTAAAACAATTTCGATAAGATCGAAAGAAAAACGACGAATAATATTTGAAGAGTATATTTCACACAAAAAAAATTCTTTCAAATTTCTCATTAATTATCGATTAGGTGATACCGATTATATTTATCGTGCCGAGTAAATTTGTTCGTATTTTTCAAAAATGAACAAAAATTTTCCTTCGCCTAACCTCCCTACCTCTTTCCACTCAAAAAAGAATAGAAATTCAAACACGCGTCAAAGAAAACAAACATTCGGATGATTATTTTTATACATGTTGCAACAAGACTAAAACATCATCGATAAGATCTTTAAAAGATAAAGATAACAGGTTCGTAATCAATTTCTTTTCTTTTTAAACCTCCTTCACTTTCCTTTACTCTTTCCCACCTGTTGGTTGGTTCATTCGTTATTTTCTCACATAAACTTCAAAATCGTCTTTCGCATTTATTAAACCTTCGTAGTATGAAGGATACGTGAATTGCGTAAATCGCAGATGCACGTTTTTCTGTTTATATTGAAGAAAGAAGAAAAAAAGAATAGATCTAGAGAAAAGAGAAAAAAAAATTTGCCTAAAAAAAGAAAAAGAAAGTTAGTAACGGGGTAGAGGAGCTGGGCGGGGCTGGAGAGGGAAGGGCCGTTTAGGAGGAGTCTTTGTTGATCGTATAAACAAAATTATCGTTCGTTAAACTTAAGTAATATTTTAACCGAACGTTTTATAATCTTCTTTGCGAGAAGGAAAGATACGAAGCTGAAAGAAGCCTCGTTCGGAGTTGACGTTGTATTTAGCAAGTCAATGAGCATCTTCATGGAATATTATGTTAGTTATCGAAAAGAGAGAGAGAGAGAAAAAAAAAAAGAAAGAAAGAAATAGAAAAAGAGAAAGAGAGAAAGAGAGAGAGAGAGAAAAGGTGTCATATATTTATTGATACTTTTGTTATTTAATTAATTACATGTCAGGGTTCCTAGGTCGAAGTATTCTTATCGATAAACCAAACACACGGAGTTTAATTAAACATACGATTTATATATTTAAAAAAAGAATCATAAAAAAAAGAGAGAAAAAGAGAAAGAAAGAATACAAAAAAAGAAAAGGAAGATAAAACTCATCACTTACTCGAAGTTTCTCCAAAGGAGATGCAAATGAGAGGACTATCTTCTTTCCTGTTTCTTTGATTGGAATGTGACACTAAGAAATGATCGTCGTTGTAAAGAAACTCATAAATGAAGGTTACATACGAAATAATACGTTATTTAAAAAAAAAAAAAAAGAATAGAAATAGAAGAAGAAGAAATATAAGAAAAGACAAAATTGTATTAAACAAATTTGAAAAAAATGATCACAGCAAGTGTTCGTAGTTAAAAAAAAAAAAAAAGAATTATGGTTTTTATTTTTCAGTTGTATTTTTTGTTTTTTGTTATTTCTTTTTTTTCGATTACACGTACTTAAAGAGAGGGATGCGATGACAAGAGTTGTGCGTTCACTACTGTTGGCAGCTTGAAAGCGCGCGCCTAACTGACCCGTTGAAATGGTAGGTAAACGCAAGCTAAACTAAGTCTCCGTATCACAATTCGGTTCGAACCCGCCACGCAACACACATGGATGATATAATATATAAGTAAGCGTCTCTTCAGCAAGTCTATCTCTTTCTCTTTTTCTTTCTCTTTCCCTTTCTCTCTTTCTTTCTTGCTCTTACACGGCGAATCTCTTTGCGGCTAATGTCAGAGAAATGTGAAGACGAAATTGTACTGATATACCGAGAATGCAGATATTGTTATGAATCATGTTCTCTTCTTAGATTTATCACATATATGACCTTATAAGGAAGTTATGTACTTCTTATTATGGATCACGAATTTATCTATCTTTTAACATTTATTAGTTTGCATTACATGTACAGGGATGGTGTATGTATTTAGATTTTGTATGTGAGTGTGTATGTATGTTTGTATTTGCATGCATTCTTTGGTATATCTGCTGCTAGCCTTGCAATTTTTCTTTTGTTAAATCTGGTTTGTACTCGAGACAGTTTTATTTATTTCTAAAACACTTATGAACGAATTATAAATCTCAATTTTATCTATAAATAATCTAAAGGATCTATCGAATCGTTAGAATTGTTCCCAAGTACTAAGAAATAGATAAGTTTATTGGAATTGTATTTATAAGAAGCTTATTCAATTTTGAATTTCTATTCTTGTAGTTTTATGTTCTCTTTTTTCTGTTAATTAATTTGTTCTTAAGTATTTTTAAAAACGTTGGTATATAAAAGAGATGTCAAGTATGTTCTCGAAGAGACAGATAAGGAGTAGAATTTTTCTAACTAATTAGAGAGAATATTCAATCGTTTTCAACAATCATGCAATTGCCGTAGGACAAACGACTTATAAATAAAAATTCGAATCGTTCGCTTTAATCTTATCGTAAATTCAATATCGAACACTTACTCGCATCTTTTTATTCCAATGCTACCAGCCGATAAGAGAGCTCTAAGAAAGTAACTTACTGTTAGTCGCATGGGTGAAACAAACCAAAGCTAAAATTATGCGTGCTAAAAATTTACATTGTTATCAATATTTCATTAATATTAAAAAATATAATAATATTAAAAAATTAAAACTATTTAAATAACCGATGAGATATAAAAAGAGCTCAGATGTATTAAGTGTTTAAAAAAAAAAAACAATTAATATTTCTAAATTTTAAATAATTTATTTGTTAATGTAATTATTATTTATTCTGATGAACTAAAGATTTCTAGAGATTTACTTTTTATAATCTAAAAAGAAATTAATCTAACAAAGTTTCGATAAAAAATCTTATTTATTAATTAAATTGTTTTAGAAAAAATATATTAAACGGCTAATTAATTAATAAAATACATATAATATATGTAAATATAAGATGCAAAAATGCATTTAAAGAAATAAATTGGAAAAAAAAAAAGACGGGCTCGTCCGGGATTTGAACCCGGGACCTCTCGCACCCTAAGCGAGAATCATACCCCTAGACCAACGAGCCACTTGTTGAGAACCTTGAATTTTATAAACCATATAACACAGAATCATGACCTCAATCTTTTAAAATCAAAATAAATAGAATTATATGAATGAATTTCAAGTAAAAATCATTAATAACGTAATAAAATATATAATTAAAAGTAATACAAAGTCTTCTCACGAAATCTAGTAGAATAATTTGAATAAATGACAAAAATCTTTATGAACATATGAATAACGCGTGTAAACAACAAAATTGAATACGATATTCAACGATCATAGTAATTTTCTTAAACGTTTTACTTAGTTCTTGTCCTCGATAAAAGAATACTTTATTATTTCTTGAAAAATTTGGTGACGCAGCGAATTGTATATGTATATGTATATATTTATACATATCCCTACTCAAAAAAGCATGCGCATTGGTTGCACTCCTGTTACCAAAGTATCCATATACTTGATCTTTATAAATAGATCTTGGTAGAAGATTTTTCTTAGTGGAAAGTAATTTAATGCTACGAAATGTGGGTCGAAAGCTTGCTTACTTCTGTTCAATGGAAATTTCTTACCATGATTGATCGCACCAAAAATGGCTGGGCGCAATCAAAAAATAACAAAAACAATTATTGAACTATTTCAAAAAAAAAACTTTCCATTTATTCATTCTCAAATATAACTTATTATATATTATTATATACGTTGAGAGACATGGATAATAGACACATAACTCACACACACATACGAATTTTCACGCTTCTTAACATTGTATATACATGTATGTATACATACACCATCTTCTTTATTAATAGTCCAATTGATTTTTGAACGCTCTTTTCTAAGCGCGTTTATTTGAAAGTAATTTTTTTAAATTCCGTTTTTCTTTTTAGAAAGATCATTATAAATAGATTTACGATATCATTTGTGAATTTTCATTGATTTCATTTTTTTCACTTATAATTTCTTCTTATCGCACTTATTGAAAATTTGTTACTTAATAATATTAATCGATATAAGTAAGTTTGTAAAATAATTACAGAATCATTTAATTATTATTATTTAAATATATCCTTTCGTTAATTTGTTTGTTACTTGCATTCTATTAAAATGATTAGTTTTTATTGTTATATTTATTTAGTATGAGAAACATGATTTTTAAATTATTAAAATATACACATCATATAAAAATATTATAATTTTACTTAAATTAAGTATATTGTAGTACCATTCACATCGGCGCCGTGGCTTAGTTGGTTAAAGCGCCTGTCTAGTAAACAGGAGATCGAGGGTTCGAATCCCTCCGGGGCCTAATTGTCATGCAATCAGAATGGCAATTGATTTTTTTTTTTCAATCTATTTATTAATTAGAGTTATTATTAGTTTGCTTTTTTTTATTTCACAATACTTAGGCATTTATACTATAAATATTAATAATAGTACAACAATATAAATTATTGATGCATATAACTACGTTGCTATCACTACTAATAATAATAAATATAATAATAAATCACATTATGAATTTTATACAATAACATAAATAAAATATTAATTATACAATGTTAATTAATTTTATAGAAGCAAATATCTTAATCATCGAATATATAAAAAAAAAAAGGTAAAACACATAAAAATTTATTAGTATTGTTTTAAGGATGTGGTTAAACTTTTTTCCGTTGTGGAATTTTTTATCATTTATTATAATTTTCGCCCTGTGGTTTTAATCCAACAAGATTTACGATTTTACTTATCAAAACCGAAGAGGATATCCTTCTGAATAATTCTGTTATTAAAAATTAAATTGAGAAAAATTGTGGTTTTTATTTCGTCGTACCTTTGATATTATCTCTAATAAAAAACAAATATAAAATATATATATAAAATTTATATAGAAATAAGAAATAAAAATGAAATATATGACATGCTACAAGAAATGTCATATTTATTAGAAATAATTTCAATATCAAGTTATAAGAATGTATGAATCTGAATTAGTGTAATCAATAACGAAGGAACTTTCCATGGTAACCGAAGTGGTATTGAAAGTATATCAGTTCGATTCTTCGTTTTAGTTAATTATTCTTGTTCTGGAATAAATATTAATTATTTTTATTAATTAATATGGGAAATACCGAGAGCAATGTTGCAAGTAGTGTTAAGAAACAAACGGATACATCGTCTATAGTACTTTATAAATTTGTAGATCTGAAAGGTGAGTCATTTTAATAAATATAATAACATTTTAATAATATTTACCATGAAACGTAAAAACATATAAAATTTAAATAATACCATAAATAAAAACACAAATATTTTCCAGTAATATATTCAAAACAAATAAATAATTATAAGAATACGAAAAGAACATGAGACTCAGTAGATAAATCAACTAAATAGAATTAATTCCATAAACGTCTAACAGATGACGCCATATACGTTTCGCGAAAAATATGATAAAATATTCAAATTAATGAAATATTAAACAATTAAATAATTTGATTATAAACATCTATATAAATTAAAATTAAGATATTCTTAAATTGATAGGTAAAAAATATTAAAATGATAAAAAATACCTGAAAAATATTAAACATTGACACGTTGAGGTCGATGAATTCATAAAGATAAAAGCTAAAAAGAATTTATTACAAATTTACATCTTTATCTTTAGCATATTATCCTTGACACGAAAACGTGAATGAAGCTTTTCGGAGAGAAGCATCGACAAATAAACAGAGTATATAAAATAATCAAAATCATTATATCGATGAGTGCGATCAGAATATAAATATACACATTTATAAATATGACAAATTAGATTATACTAATAATTATTATAAATAAATCGTTAAAATGTCTACCTCATTTTTTCTAAATCCATTATTATCCATGAGTCATACGTGCTAAGTTTGAAAAGTGAAGTGTTACCGCTGCTTCGATATTCGCAAGTGCTCAACTTGACGATCTAAATACTCGCAGATATGACGTAATAGATTAACGTGCCTTTGAACATCACAGATTTCACTTTAATATATCAAAGAGAGAAAGAAAGAATGATGACCGAACATTTTTTAATTTTCAACCCTATGATTAGAAATAAACCAAATCGTAAAAGGAATAAGCGAAAAAGAAAGAGAAAGATAACGAATTGATCTTATTTGAATATCTAAGAATGTGATACTCATTCATATTTATAGGGGGTGGATTATTCGTGGATATGATGAAGAGAGCTACGCAAACTAAACAATTTGCTGAATTAGATCATGCCTTGAGAACGAAGGTAGAACCATTTTTATACAACAAAGGGAAAGGTAAATGGATACCGATTGAAAAATTAGTCTTGTTAAGAAATAAAGATCGGCCGAGACATAAAATGGTATATAACTAACTGTCAACAATATTTTTTAAAAAGATAATACATTTAAAATCATAATGATTTAATATTGAAACAAATGATTTCAGTTACCACCATTAAAGGCTATGGAAAATCCGGCAGATTACGACATAGATAAAGATTTGAATGACGATGACATTGACGAGACTAAAATAGGTAAGAAATATTAAT